AAAACACGTAAAATGCAAAGTGAGCTGTTCCTCCATCAATTAAATCGGAAGGAAGATATACTAAGAAATAAGACAAATGTAAGCAAAAAAATTAAAATTTCGTCGATTCTGAACAAGAATCAGATTGTCTTTTCCCCATGAAAAAGGGAATTGTCGACAGCCTTGAAAGCGGATGGCTGTTGCTGATGCTCATTATCACTTGAGCGAATTTCAGTGATGCCTTCGGCTCTTAGAAAGTGAATTACGGAAGAGATTTTCCTTTATGATATAAAAATAAATGAAGTAAACAATCACCATGAAAACTGAGAAGCGAAATCCGAACCGGAATTGAGGCACAATTGTTGAAGCGGTATCCCAAGGTTAAAATTCTGAGCACAGACGACACCCGTTATTATCTAATATCACAAGGAACAAATCAACCTTGCACTACGATTAAAAAAATGCACGTTCTTTAATCCAACAAAAAAAGTGAGACGGATTTCAGATCGGTCAGAAAACCGTTATTTTTAACAGAAGCAAGAAGACCAGCGCATTATGAAGTGAAAAGCGAAAGACAAATCATAAATCTCTAAAATATTGAGATATGAAGCACATTGAGATGGGTGTGGTCAAAAAAGTGAATGTACTAAATTTCAAGGTTTACAAAAACAGCACGGAAGTAGCTTAGAAAGCGGAAAACTGCACCTTAGCAAATCGTATAATTTTAAAGATACTACTCTCGCACCGAAAATTCAAAACTTCCCAAACAGTAAGAAAAGCCACGTGGGACAGCTATGATGATATTTGACTCAGAAAAAACCCAACCAACCCGTACCGCTGACAGTCCGCCAGCTACGTCACTTGAATTCTGCAGCTGTGAGAAGCAGTGAAAAAAATTAAAACAATAAACATTTATTATTCGTTTTCATTTTCACTCATTGTTGTTTGCTTCCAGTCGATCCATACTGTTCGCATCTAACGCTTCAATCACCACTCCTGTAAGAACTTCAGCAATTTTTCGAGGAAAAAACTTTTTTTTTTGGCACGACCACTAAAGTTCTCGACAGGGGGAACAACAAGGTGTACTTCAAAATATTCAAGTAGAAATTCAAATGTTACCACGGGCTGTGCACGAAAAGCCGTAAAAGATGGCTGTGATGTGTTCAGCAGGTCTCTAGAGATTAAATTCTGATACAGACAATTTGTCATCGATTCTGCGTAATCCAAATAAATGGAGCTACCAAGCACAATGAGTGTTACATACGAAATTATATCAACATAACTCCCCTACCAAAATAGCTTTCGATACGTTTCATGACATTGTACGCGAAATCATCGGAAATCAAATTGATCGCAATTCCAGCTTTACCAAACCTTCCCGTCCTACCAATCCGATGCAGGTATGTTTCGTAATCGGGCTCAGTATGATTCATGTATGTAACCGGTGGATCATAATTTATCACCACTGATACCTGACAAACATCAATACCTGAAAACAGAAAAGCACGTGCTTTAGTTTCGATCCTAAATTAACAGCCAGTCGAATTCAGGGGCCAAAATTAGGCCCAGACTGTCGAAAAAAATAATATC